AGAGAGAGAGAGAGAGAGAGAGAGAGAGAGAGAGAGAGAGAGAGAGAGAGAGAGAGATGATAGCAGGACTGCCAAAAGGGATTTGCACCCAGGATAATGCTGGGCCCCTCCCTGCCGACCCCCAGAGGGACAGAGGGTCCCCACGAGCTGCAGACACAGATGTGGGAAGCAGATGTGGCTTACCTGTGAGTGAGGAGACAGCCCAGTATTCAGCCTGCATCTCCTTTGCCACCTTCTGGGCGTCCCGCTCTATAAGGTTGTACTGCGCGGGTGTCTGTGGAGAAAGAGGAAGGCTCAGGGGGGCAGCAGGGGGCACCCGGTGGGGAGGGGGTGTGAAACATGGGAGCAGATCACACAGGTAACCGACACCTGGGTCAGGGCTGGGCAAGGATGGCAATTTGGCGACCTGTGGATTTCATTTCTCAGAATTCCTGGCAACTTGACAACCTGTGGACTTCAACTCCCAGAATTCCTGGCAACTTGATGACCTGTGGACTTCAACTCCCAGAATTCCTGGCAACTTGACGACCTGTGGACTTCAACTCCCAGAATTCCTGGCAACTTGACGACCTGTGGATTTCAACTCCCAGAATTCCTGAGCCAGCCATGGCTGACTCAGGAATTCTGGGACTTGAAGTCCACAGATCGTCAAGTTACCATTGTGGCCCACCCCTGACCTGGTCCTGCTGCAGTGCCCGTCCTCTTGGGGGCTTTGGTGCCCTTCACCCATGTGGACTTCACTTCCCAGAATTCTTGTCTGGCTAGGAATTCTGGGTGCCGGAAGACACATGTGAAAAATCCCTAGATTAGGAAATACTGGTCCTGTAAAGTGTCACAAAATTCCACGTCTGTTCCTTGACACCCCTTGTCTTAACATATTTATCTCTATACCCTTCCTTTATTGTTTTTTACAATAACTCAAAGCAGCAAACATATCTGATTCCCCTCTTATTTTATCCAAAACAACAACCCTGCAAGGTGGGCCGGACTGAGAGAGGAAGTGGCCCAAAGTCTCCCATCTAAGGCAGGACTGAAATTCACGGTCGTAATCTGAAGCGAAGGGGGGTCCAGTCTGGAGGCCGCCTGGGCATCTCCCGCCCTTCTGCCCCCCCTCCCCTCCCCTCCTGCCCCCCCCACTCACGCTGAGGTCCTTCTTGGTGCCCACCAGGAAGAGCAGGACTCCGGAGGGGTCGTTCTCCTTCAGGGCATCGACCAGCCACTGCCTGGGAAGGGAGGGGGGAAAGTCACCCCAAAGCCTCCCCGGCTTTCTCCCCCCCCCCATTTCTCTGAGTTGGAAGCTGCTGGGCTGCCGTTCCAAAGGGGCAGTTTGGGAGGGGGGGTTCTCGAACCTGCAAGACCCCAGCAGGCCGGGTCCCCAAAGACCCCTGGAGATGCTGGATGAAGAGAGACTGGGAGTCTTCCCCTCCCCCAAACGGAGGTTCCCTGGGGGCTTCAGCTGATGGCCTGGGAAAGGGGGAGGGAGGAAGAATGGGAGGAAAGAAAAGGAAGAAAGATGAGGAAGGAAGGAAGAAGGGAGGGAAGGAAAGAAAGAAGGAAGAAAAATGAGAAAGGAAAGGGAAGGGAAGGAAGGAAGAAAGGATGGAAGGAAAAAGGGAGGATGGGAAGAAAGGAAAGAAGAAAGATAAGGAAGGGAAGGGAAGGGGAAGGAAGGAAGGAAGGAAGGAAGGAAGGAAGGAAGGAAGGAAGGAAGGAAGGAAGGGGAAATTAGGAAGGGAGGGCAGATAGAAAAAGGAAGGAAGGGAGGGAAGAAGGAAAATGGGAAAGGAAGGGAGGGAGGAAGGAAAGGAAGGAAGGAAAGAAAAAATAGGAAGGGAGGATGAAAGAGAGGAAGGAAGGAAGGAAAAAGGGAGGGAGGGAGGAAAGAAGGAAGATGAGAGGAAAGGGAGGGAGGAAGGAAGAAAAGGAAGGAAGGAAGGGAGGATGGAGGGAGGGAGGAAGGAAGGAAAGAAGGAAGGGATGGAGGAGGGAAGGAAAGAAGGAAGATGACAAAGGAAAGGAAGGGAGGGAGGAAGGAAGGAAGGAAGGAAGGAAGGAAAGAAAGAAAAAATAGGAAGGGAGGAGGGAGGGAGGGAGGAAGGAAGGAAGGAAAAAGGGAGGGAGGAAGGAAGGAAGGAAGGAAAAAGGGAGGGAGGGAGGGAGGAAGGAGCAAGAGGGAGGGAGGGCAAACCCCCCAGACCCCGACCCTCTTGCAACTCACAGGGTTGGGGGGCTCCTGCCCCCTCAGGCCCCCTGCTTACCTGGTGTGGTCCAGCGATGCCACGTCATTCAAATCGAAGACGATAATGATGGCTGCAAACAGAGTTTGGGGGGGGGGACACAGAACAGGAGGCTCAGCGCCCTGAGGGGAGGGGGCCCCCATCCAGACCCTGCCCCTTTTTTTCCTCCTGCATCTCGTCTTCTGCAAATCCCAGGAGAGGCAGAAAAAGGCTGGTGCATATCAAACAAACCCCCCCCCCAGTGTTGGGGGGAGTCAGAATAGGTGCCTCCCCCAGGGAATTACCCTTCCTCCCCTCTACACCCTGGCAAGGGGCTCCAATCTCCCCCCACCCCAACCAGGAAGGACAGTTGATCCAGGGAGGCCCAAGACTTCTCCTACAGAGACCCCCTCCCCAGGAGACCCCCCCCTTCAAGACCCAAGGGCAATGGCAGTCCGGCGGGCTCTCCTGGGGCGGTGGGCTTCACGCCTCCCCTGTGCCAAGCGAGACGGTTCTTAAGTGAGCTTCGCCCTGTTTTACGACCGTCCTTGCCGGAGTTGTTCAGCCAATCGCGGCAGTCGTTAAGTTAGTGGCACGGTTGTTAAGTGAAACAGGCTTCCCCCCCCCCCGGACCTGGCTGGTCAGAAGGTCGTGAGAGGGGATCACGGGGAAACCCGCCCCCCGCGACAGTCATAGATAGGACTCAGTTGCCAAGTGCCCTAATTTTGATCATGTGACCAGGTCGTTAAGTGTGAAAAAGGGCCGTACGTCATTTTTTCCGGCGCCCTAGTGACTTTGAACAGTCCCTAAATGAAGGGTTGTCAGTCCAGGATCACCTATGATTGATTTAAAAGGTTTAGATTGTGGCTTTAAAGCAGGGGTGTCCAAGCTCGGCCCCTTTAAGACTGGTGGACTTCAACTCCCAGAATTCCCCAGCCAGCAGAGGAATTCTGGGAGTTGAAGTCCACCAGTCTTAAAGGGGCCGAGCTTGGACACCCTTGCTTTAAACCATCTTGGGAACCAGAGAAAAGACAAGAAGCCGTGCCCAGGCTGGGGTGGGAGGCGGACCCCCTCCCCAAAGTGCCCCCCTCTGCCCCCTCACCTTGTGCTCCCCGATAGTAAGTGGAGGCGATGCACTTGAAGCGTTCCTGGCCAGCCGTGTCCCACCTGGCAGGGAGCAAGCAGAGCCAGTCGGACGATGGCTAAAACAGGGAGGGGGGTCCGCAGGGGAGGAGGGGTGGGACTGGAGGGGGCCCGAGGCCAGGTGGGGTACTCACAGCTGGAGGCTGAAGGGGACCCCCAGAACCTCGAACCGTTCCATCTCAAAGTCCACCCCGATGGTGGCCTTGTAATTCTTGTCAAAGGTGTCTTTGCAAAACCTGGAGGCGGGGAAAGGAGCAGGCTGCAGCTAGAAGGGCCCCCCCGAGGCCATCTAGTCCAACCCCCTGCTCAGGGCAGATGATAATACCATGTCTGGTTGTGTGGCCCGCTTGTGCCTGTGCAACAGCTCCTGGGGGAATCCTCAAGGGCAGGGGTCTCCAAATTTGGCCACTCTAGGCTTCCTAGACTTCAACTCCCAGGATTCCTCATGCTG